ATTTGAATAGAAAGTAATAATAAGTATATCAAATTTTGGTTAACAGATCCTTAATCAGCATGTTTAGAATTACTGTGATTTGAGCAAAATCTATTTTTTTGGTAAAAGTAACAAAAGAAATCGTAAGGCTTAAGCCTTACAGGATTTTTAATAAAAATCGATTTTTTGTTAAAATCTGATATATAGGAACCTGTTAACCAAAGTGATATCTAGACCAATACTTGTTCAAATAACTTTTAGAAATTATTCAAATGGCTTTTAGAAAATTTTAATTACTTTGCAAGTCATTTGAATAAGTAATAATGCAGATATCAAATTTTTGGTTAACAGATGCTTAATCCAGCATGTTCAGAATTACCTATACTGATTTTGAGCAAAATCTATTTTTTTTGGCCGAAAATGACCAAAATCGTAAGTCTTAAGCCTTACAGAGTTTTTGGCTAAAATCGATTTTTTGTTCAAAATACTCCTAGGCTATCTTGATAAACCTGTTTGACTCACCCCATTCAATGCTTTTAAAGTAATTCAAAAGTAGAAACTTGAAAATTTTTATTTTTGCAAGTCATTTGAATAAGTAATAATGCAGATATCAAATTTTGTAACGATCCTTAATCAACATGTTCAGGAGTACCTATACTGAGATTTTGACAAAAATCTATTTTTTGGCCGAAAATGACCAAAAATCGTAAGTCTTAAGCCTTACGGATTTCTGGCCAAAAATCTGATTTTGTTCAAAAATCCTCGGCGTGTCTCCTAATTATGCTGATCTCGATGACCAAAATTTGATAATTAATACTTGTTCAAATAGCTTTTAGAAAATATTTCAAATGGCTTTTTGAAATTTTAATTTAACATGAGTCATTTGAATAAGTAATAATGCAGATATCATTTTGGATTAACAGATCCTTAATCAATGTTCAGGAGTACCTATACTGAGATTTGCAGGCAAAAATCTATTTTTTGGTGAAAATAAAGCAAAATCGTAAGGCTTAAGCCTTACAGGATTTTGGCAAAAAATCATTTTATTTCCAAAATCTCGTGGCTATGCTAGAAACCTATTATTGGATATCTGAATACCACTGACTAAACTCAACTTTTAAAGAAACCATTCAAATGGCTTTTTAGAAAATTTTAATTACTTTTTTTAAGTCTTGAATAAGTAATAATGCAGATATCAAATTTTGGTTAACAGATCCTTAATCAGCATGTTTACGGAGTACCTATACTGTAAATTTTTGACCGGAAATCTATTTTTGGCCGAAATGAAATAAAAATGTGAGCTTAAGCCTTACAGGATTTTTAATAAAAAATCATTTTGTTCAAAAATCTCAATATAAATACTCCTATTATCTTTAAAATTAAATTATTGACAAGGGTAATATCTAGATATACTGTTCAAATATTTAGAAAAATGTTCAAATGGCTTTTTAGAAAATTTAATTTACTTTTTTGCAAGTCATTTGAATAAGTAATAATGCAGATATCAAATTTTTTGGTTAACAGATCAACCAATCAGCATGTTTAGGAGTACCTATGCTGAGATTTTTGAGCGAAATCTTTTTTGGCCGAAAATGACAAAAATCGTAGGCTAAGCCTGGGATTTTTTGGCCAAAAAATCGATTTTTGTTCCAAAATCAATCTCATCCCTAATTTATACTGATTCAAAATTCTCATTATTAAGTGACTCTGAACCATGCATTTCAATAAGCACAAAGAAAATTGTTCAAATGGCTTTAAGAAAATTTTAATTACTTTTTGCAGAATCATTTGAATAAAGTAATAATACCGAATATCAAATTTTTTTGGTTAACAGATCCTTAATCCAGCATGTTAGGGAGTACCTATACTGATTTTTGAGCAAAAATCTATCTATTTTTGGCCGAAAAGTAGCCGAAAATCATGATCCCCAGCCTTACAGGATTTTTGGCCAAAATCCGATTTTGTTCAAAATCAGTATAAACTACTCCTAATTTGATAGAACTGTTGACAAAATATAATTCAATACTTATTCAAGCATAAGCTTTTAAGAAAGTATTCAAATATGGCTTTTTAGAAAATTTTAATTACTTTTGCAAGTCATTTGAATAAGTAATAATGCAGATATAAATTTTTGGTTAACAGATCCTTAATCAGCATGTTAGATACCTATACTGAGATTTTTGAAGGCAAAATCTATTTTTTATTAAAAATGACAAAAATCGTAGGCTTAAGCCTTGGGATTTTGTAAAAATCGATTTTGTTCAAAATCAAACTCTAATTGACCAAGAATCTGAATACTTGTTCAAATAACAGAAATTGTTCAAATAAACGAAGAAAATTTAATTACTTTTTGCAAGTCATTTGAATAAGTAATATACAGATATCAAATTTTGGTTAACAAGATCCTTAATCAGCATGTTTTAGGAGTACCTATACTGAGATTTTGAAAAAATCTATTTTTGGCCGAAAATAATGAAATCATGCAAGGCTTAAAGCCTTACAGGATTTTGGCCAAAAATCGATTTTTGTTCAAAAAATCTCAATATAAATACTCTAGTATACTGATTAAGAAGACCGACAAAATTGATATCTAGACCAAATAGCTTTAGAAATGTTCAATGACTTTAAGAAAATTTTGAAGAGTACTTTTTTGCAAGTCATTTGAATAGTAATAATGCAGATATCAAATTTTGGTTTAACAGATCGTAATCAGCATGTTCAGGTACCTATACTGATTTTAGGCAAAATCTATTTTTTAATAAAAATGAGCAAAAATCGTAAGTCTTAAGCCCTTACAGGTTTCTGGCCGTCGATTTGTTCAAATATCAAATGACCAAAATTTGATAATACTTGTTCAAAATATTTTAAAAGAAACCATTCAAATAAACTTTTGAAAATTTTAATTACTTTTTGCAAGTCATTTGAATGAAGTAATAAATGCAGATATCAAATTTTGGTTAACAGATCTCATAATCAGCATGTTCAGGAGTACCTACTTACTGAGATTTGAGCAAAATCTGTTTTTTGTGGCTGACAAAATCGTAAGGCCAAAGCCTTACAGGATTTTTGGCCAAAAAATCGATTTGTTCAAAATCTCGATATACTCCTAGTATCTTGAATAGAACAAAATTGATATCTGAATTATTACGTTCAAATAACTTTTAGAAAATCATTCAATGGCTTTTAGAAAATTTTAATTACTTTTTGCAAGTCATTTGAATAAGTAATAATACAGATATCAAATTTTTGGTTAACAGATCCTTAATCAGCATGTTCAGGTACCTATACTGAGATTTTGAGCACAATCTATTTTTGGCCGAAATAGCCAAAATCGCTAAAAGGCTAAACCTTACAGGATTTCTGGCAAAATCGATTTTTATTCAAATCGACTACTCCTGAATTTGATAAAGACAAAAATTGATATCTAATTGATAGTGTTCAAATAGCTTTTTAGAAATTATTCAAATGGCTTTTAGAAAATTTTAATTACTTTTGCAAGTCATTTGAATAAGTAATAATGCAGATATCAAATTTTGGTTAACAGATCCTTAATCAGCATGTTCAGAGTACCTATACTGAGATTTTTGAGCAAAATCTATTTTTATTGAAAATGACAAAAAATCGTAAGTCTTAAGCCTTGATTTTTGGCCGAAATCGATTTTTGTTCCATATCTCATTCTATTATCTAGAATAAATGACAAATTATTCTGAATTACTTATTCTGATAACTTTTAGGAAAATATTCAAATGGCTTTAGAAAATTTTAATTACTTTTTGCAAGTCATTTGAATAAGTAATAATGCGAATATCAAATTTTTGGTGCTAGATCCTTAATCAGCATGTTCAGGGGGTACCTATACTGAGATTTTGAGCACAATCTATTTTTGTGAAAATGAAGAAATAAAAATCGTAAAAGGCTTAAGCCTTACAGGATTTCTGGCCAAAAATCGATTTTGTTCAAATCTCGACCTCTCAATGCCTCTAATTTGCTCTGATCGACAAGAATGATATCTGAATTATTAGTATTCAAATATTTTTAGAAATTGTTCCAAATGGCTTTTAGAAAATTTTAATTACTTTTGCAAGTCATTTGAATAAACAATAATCCAGATATCAAATTTTGGTCAACAGGTCCTTAATCAGCATGTTCAGGAG